CAAGTGATTTCGTGTTCTGCGTGGAACGTGCGTGGCAACCATGTTCGGGTCAAGAAAGAATTATCTGTTTTTTTTCCTGTGGACACTGTCATTACAAGTCATGAAGTTATTGTGGGTTTCGACGAGGCTGGTATTGACATCGAGGATATCCGGTCCGTTCAACGGAGAGCGAGTAATAATTCTTGGGTGGTCACGTTCGGCAGCAAAGCCGTGAAGGACGCCGCCCTGAACGAGCAGTCAATTACAATTGCTGGCTGTTCTGTCCTGTTGGGGGATTGTGAGAATAAGGTCTCCATCGTGAAAATTTACGAGCTGCCCAACGAGCTTCCTGACTCAGTCGTCATCGGCCGTTTGAGCCACTACGGCCGAGTTATTTCTTTCCGACGTGACCGCGTGGCGGACGCCATCTTTAATGGTGTTCGCACTGCGAGGACGTGTATTGAGCGGCCCATCCCGGCGCAAGCCTTCATCGCCGGCGAGTTCTGCCGGTTCTGGTATCCATCACAGCCGAAGACCTGTAGGAAATGCGGTGCTGAGGATCATCTTGCGGCCGCTTGTCGGTCGCAACGATGCTTTAATTGTGAGCAGCCCGGCCATCGCGCGGAGCAGTGTGACCAGCCAGCGCTCTGCTGCGTGTGCCTCTCAGACGGCCACGAGACTACCTCCTGTCCATTTATTTACTACAGCTCAAACATCACTGGTGCAAAGCCCCAAGAGAAGTCTTATTCCGGTGCTGCACACAGCGGAAAGGTAGCTGATGAAGCGAGAAAAGCGGAAGAGGCAAGTAACCGCACTAAGCGAGAAGAAGAAGAACGCGCGAGGCGCGAGGAGCGTGCACGCAGGGAGAAAGAGAAGGAGCGAAAGGAGAAAGAAAGGAAGGACAGAGAACGAAAGGAGCGAAAGGAGCGAGAAGAAAGAGATCGGGAGCGGAAGGAGAAGGAACGAGAGGACAGGGAACGTGAGGACCGAAGAGATCGCGACAGGAAAAAGCACGATAAGTACTCGGAGAGGAGATATAAAGATGATGATGGCTACAGAAGAGAAGAGAGGAACGATCGCGAGCGAGATCGCGATCGCTATCGCTCTTCTCGCGATCGGTCCTCTCATCGCGATCGCGAAAGCAATGACAGTGAGTCAGATAATGATGGATGGACCCGAGTGTCTTATCGGAGGGAAAAGGGCAAGAGTAAGTCGTATTAATTTTCTTAATTTAATATTTTTTCGCTTACAGTGCTCTTAGATTTCTTACCATCAACATTCGTGGACTAGGCACTACCCGTAAACGCGATCTCTTTCTCCATGAGTTAAACGAAAATTTAGACTATGATTTTTTTCTCTTACAAGAGACGCATATTTCCTGTAAATCTCAAGCTGATTTAATTGAGAAATGTTTTAACGGCCAATATTTTTGGTCCTTTGGGATCGGCAAATCTGCCGGTGTAGCTATCTTTGTTTCCCCTAAATTTTCTGGCAAGATTATTCGCTATGTTCACGACACTGATGGTAGAATTCTAAGCCTTCTTGTTGATCTTAACTCTCTTAAATTTAATATTATTTGTGCCTACGCTCCAAACACCGTGTCCGATCGTAAATTATTTTTCAACCGTCTCCATACCTTTTTTCTATCACCCGGCAATTTAATTTTAGGTGGCGATTTTAATTGTATTGATTCTGAACTTGACCGTTTGCATATTAAATCGGACTTTAGCGCGGACAAGCGTTGCTTGTTAGCCCTTAAGTCCGATTTCTGCCTTGTTGATGTCTTTCGTAAGCAAAATCCGAAAGCGCTTTCTTTTACTTGGTCTAATAAAGATTTTTCCCAGGCTTCTCGCCTCGATCGCTTCTATATTTCTTCCTCTCTTTTGCAGTCAGTTCGCGGAAATAATTGTTTTCCTTGTTCTCTCTCTGACCATGATTTTGTCGATTTATTTATTTCTCCGGCTAATGTTTCTTTGCACGGAAGCGGTGTTTGGAAATTTAATTGCTCTCTTCTCTCCGATAACGATTTTATTAATACTATGACTGTTTTGATCACTTCTGAGAAAGACAAGATTCCTCTGTTCGACTCGCTTGAAGGTTGGTGGGATAACTTGAAAATTCAGATCCGTCGTACCTGTATCGATTTCTCTTCCCGAAAACGTAGACAACTTCTTTCCGAACGTAATTCTTTAACCAAGCGCTTACTCAGAGCTAAATCGGCTGTTTTTGCTGGCGATCGCAACCAGATTTCTAATGTAAACAAACTTGAGAGCGCCTTAGAGGCAGTTATTAATAATGAGTGAGAGGACGCTAAAGTCCGCTCGCGAGCGCGGTGGATCGAGGAGGGCGAGAAGCCCACTGGTTTCTTTTTTCGCCTCGAGCGTAAACGCGCGGAAAAGAATATTTTTGAGTCTCTTTTTAATGAATCTGGCGAGGAAAAATTCTCGCACGATGACATTGAACTTGTTTTGGTTGACTTTTACAAAGCTTTATTCTCCAAGGATTCTCTTAATATGCAAATTCAGACCCAAATTATCGATGATCTTGACCTTTCTTTGTCTGATTTAGAACGCGAACAATGCGAGGGATTATTCACAAAAGACGAGCTTTCTGCCGCTTTGAAAGGCCTTCAGACCGGTAAATCGCCCGGTTCTGATGGCCTTCCTGTTGAATTTTACTCCGCTTTCTGGGATTTGTTGTGTGACCCTCTACTTTCTGTTCTGAATGACTGTTTTCGGGTTGGCTCGCTTTGTGCGAGCCAGCGCCAAGCCCTCTTATTATTTATAAGAAGGATGATAAACGCTCGGCTAAGAATTGGCGGCCCATATCGCTTCTTAATTGTGACTACAAATTAGCTTCGAAAATAATTACCGACCGTCTGAAACAAGTTATGCCTTCAATCGTCCACTCTGACCAGACCTGTAGTGTAGTTAATAGATCGATCTTCTCTAACTTGCATCTAATCCGCGACACCTTAGATATGATAAACATAACAAACGAGACAGGAATTTTAGTCACGCTTGATCAGATGAAGGCCTTTGATAGAGTAGATCACGATTTCCTCATGAGAGTATTAAGTAAATTTGGTTTCGGTCCGTCCTTTTGTCGTTGGGTTTCAATCTTTTATTCGAATGTCTTTTCGCGGATTATTTGTAACGGCAAACTTTCTACTCCTGTTTTCCTAGAGAGGGGGGTTAGGCAGGGATGTCCTCTCTCCCCCCTTCTCTACGTTTTAACTTCTGAAGTTCTAGCTAATCAGATCCGTAAAAACCCTGCGATCAAAGGCTTCCTGCTCCCCGGAGCAGGTAGCCTTCAGTTTAAAATATCGCAGTACGCCGATGACGCCACCAATTTCGTTAAGAACGAGAGATCTCTCTGTCACCTTTTAGAGACTGTTAAAAAGTACGAGAGGGGGTCTGGGGCCAAGCTCAACACCACCAAGTCCCAGGCGATGTGGCTTGGTAGGTGGAGAGCTAATGGCGCCTCCCCCTTCGGCTTACAATGGGTTAGTAAGCTTAAGATTTTAGGAGTTTATTTTTCGAATGGATTAGTAAACGTTGATGAAGATAATTGGCGTTGCAAATTAGATAAGTTAAAGAGAACTTTAGGGCTGTGGTCGCAAAGAGATCTTTCTTTTCTAGGCAGAGGCATGATCCTAAACGTTCTCGGGGCTAGTAAATTTTGGCATGTAGCCAAAGTACTCTCCCCCCAAAATGGGTTTCCACTGAATACAAGCGAGCTGTTTGGCCTTTCATCTGGAAATCAAAATCTGAAACTGTAAGCCGAGCGCGTTGCGTGGCCCCCATCGCGCGTGGGGGCCTCAATATTGTTGACTTTGAAACTAAGTGTTCCAGTTTGCGTTTGTCGGGTCTCTCTGGGTATCGGGAGGCATTCGGCACATGCAAATAGCACTTTTTAGCTCGTTACTTTTTCGGAAATCGCTTTACTAATCTTGATCCTAGTTTTGATTTTTCTTCCCGTTCAATTCCTTTGTCCTCCGAACCGTCTGCTTTTTACCGTAATTGCTTATCTTTGTTGTCCTCTCTGCGTTGTAAACACGGTTCTTTACCGGCTGATTTTTCTTGTAAAAACTTGTATAGTCTTCTACTAGACCTTCCGAGCGCCGCTCCGCGCTCCTCCGGTTTTTGGGCCGCTTCACTTAAGAGGCCGATGAACCGGTGGGCATGGGTCTGGCGCAAGTCTCGCTTTAAGCTGATTGAGAATAAGAAAACCGATTTACTTTGGCTGATAATTCACCGCGAATTAAAGTTCGATACGCTTTGAAAACTTGGGGATACAAACTTAAATCTGATAAGTGTGCTTTGTGTTCCCAAGTTGAAACTATTGAGCATTGTTTTTTTTCTGCCCTCGCGCGCTGTGTGGGAGGCACTTTTTCGCCTTATCTGTCTCGCCTCTCTACTTCCCGTTTCTCTGTTAACTCTTCTTGTATTTTCTTCCCTTTCTCGTCTCACGCTTCTTCGCCTTCTTTTTCGCTCTACTGCTACGTGATTGCTACCGTCTTATTTTGGATCTGGCAAACTAGGAATCTTGCGACTTTTCAGAATTCTGTTTTAAATGCTGATCAAATCGTCAACCTGATTAAGAAGGATATTTCCTGCCGCATTTTATGTGCAAAACAAGACGAAAAAGAAAATTTCTGGTCTACTGGTAGCATTCTCTGTAAAATTTCTGATACTCGCTCTATTTCTTTTTTCCCTTACTGTTCATAAGCCTTTATTGTACATGGCCGCTTTTAATTTTAGTTCGCTTTATTTAGCTGCTCTAGATGTCTTTGTACATAGCCGCTTTTAATTTTAGGCCTTTTTTTCGCCTATGAACATTTAGTTGAACGCCTGTGTATAGCCGCTTTAGTTTATTTTGCTTGTAAATATCTCCTGAATCTTGTATATAGCCGCTTTAGTCAACTTAACTTAGCTTAACTTCATTTCTATTACTCACCGGAAGCCGCGCTAACTTTTCCTGGAATCTTGCATATCGCCGCCTCATTTAAGGCGAAGGTCATGAAGGAAGGCAGACGTGCGATTCCGAGCTCGCGAGTTATTGGACTTGTACTTATTTTGTGTCTTGTTCATACCTTGAGGAAAGATAAACAAGATTATTCTTTTACCAGCGAGTACTTTGGTCTCTGTTTCCCGCATTCCTCGTCGGTTAAAGAGGTAAACTGGGACACGAGACACTGTACAAAATGGCTGACACACGTGCATGTCACTATCAGTATGAGAGTGAAACGAGCAAGCGCTACTACAGCCTACTACGCCAACTCAACCTCTACCTTTAGACCTGTTATACAACTGCTACATGATGTGGAACTTAACCCTGGACCTGCAAACTGCTCTAGTGGAGACAAGTCAGAAAAGTCAAATGGCAATGTTAAAATCGCACATCTTAATGTTCGCTCGCTCAAATGCCGTGAGCATTTCGTTCTTGTAAAGAATGCGGTACTGGAAAATAAGTTTGATATATTTACCGTATCCGAAACATGGCTCAACAGTTCAGTTACGGATTTGGAGATAGAAATCCCTGGCTATGTTATCTACCGAATCGACCGACAGGCGAGGGTTGGCGGTGGAGTATGTGCTTATGTCTCACGAAATTACAGGACGGAGTACTTGAGTGACATTTCTCCTATCACGGCCTCTGGCTTCCATCAACTGTGGCTAAAAATCCACGTCAGAAACATGAAGTCCTTCCTTGTCTGTACAACCTATAGACCACCGGACACTTCTTTATCTTGTTTCGATTCAGATCTTACAGAGAACTTTATTTATGCCTCGTCGTTTAATGTTCCAATTTATCTATTAGGTGATTTGAACTGCAGACTTGAGAATAGCGACGATCCTGGAGCTAAAGCCCTTGTTAACTTTTTTTGCCGTTCCTATAACTTGTCAATATTGATCAACACACCAACACGAGTTACAGAGACTTCGAAATCAATTTTAGATGTTATCCTTGCATCGGATACAAGACAAGTCCAAACGGCTACAGTTATGGAAAGCTCGATCAGCGACCATGAGCTAATTTATGTCACCTTAAGATTGAAGAAGGCGCGCTCCAAACCCATTTATATTACTACCAGAAGTTTTAAACACTACAGTCCTATTGATTTCAGCAATGACGTATCATTGGCACCGTGGTCCATAGTCGATGTTTTCGACGATGTCGAGGATAAAATTTATGCATTTGATTCGCTGTTTACTGAGATACTCGACCGTCATGCTCCAGTTAAAACCTTTAAAGCACGCTGTAAGCCAAACCCATGCGTAACCGACAACATCCGCGGATTGATGAAGACCAGGGATGATTGGCGTAAAAAGCAAAGAAAACAAATGACCCGCTATCCTGGACTGCCTACAGATATTTCAGACAGGAAGTAAAGAGGGAAATTAGAATTGCTGAACGAGAATTTGTTGCTGAACAAATCCAAAGGAACCCAAATAACACCAATAATATCTGGAAAGCAATCCGCCAGTGTGTCCCCAATAAATCTACATCTCAGCGAACATTTAGTAAGAGCATCAAATCTGTTGCAGACGAATTTAACCAGTTCTTCGTATCTGTTGGTCAGAGCACTGTTGACAAAATTACGTCCCTGGCTAATGAATGCAACTTAACACTTAATCAGAATTATTTCGTGCCGAGACAATACGCTTCCTCTGACCAGTTCACACTTAGTACCGTTGATTATAAACAAGTAGAGCGTATAATAGCAGCGATGCCTTCAAACAAGGCCCCGGGATAGATAAAATTCCGATCCGTGTCATCAAAGACTGTCTTAATCCAATTGTTCACCCAATAACGTCTATCGTTAATGCATCCTTTCAAAACTGTGTTTTTCCATCAAAATGGAAAACAGCCGAGGTTACACCCATCCTAAAGGAGGGCGACCATGAACAGGCAAACAACAATAGACCCATCTCACTTCTACCAGTTTTATCGAAGGTTTGCGAAAGGGTAGTACATAATCAACTCACCTCGTATCTGCAATCAAATGACACCCTATCAAAGAGTCAAAGCGGTAACAAGATATGGCACTCTTGTGAAACATCTGTCATTGAAACAACAGACACAATTCTTAACGCCATCGATAAAAAAGAAGTTAACGGCAGTTGTACTATTAGATATGAGCAAAGCCTTTGATAGTGTCAATCATGACACGTTAATTTTAAAATTGCAAGATGTCGGAATTTCCAGTGACACTCTCCAATGGTTTCGTAGTTACCTAAGCAACAGGTCACAAGTAGTACGAATCTATTCAACGCTATCTGAGCCTTTGTCTGTGACCAGTGGCGTTCCTCAAGGAAGCATCTTGGGCCCACTTCTTTTTAGCATATATACGAACGATCTTCCATTGATCCCACAGAAATGCAGCACCCAGAGTTATGTAGATGATACGAAACTCATCACTTCCTTCGAGCTTAAAGCCAACCTGGATGCAATTGCTGATTTGGAAGACGACCTGTTTAAAATAGGGGAATGGTGTTCCAACAATCAATTGTTACTAAACCCTGGCAAAACCAAGTTGATGATATTTGGCAGCAGGCAGATGCGTGCAAAATTCCAATTTCGTTACCTTTCCTTTATGGGTAAGGACATTGTCCCTACAGACACCGCCAAAGACCTTGGTGTGACTTTGGATTCTAATTTAACTTCGATGAACATATAATTAAAACCGCTTCCTCGTGCATGTCCCGCCTTGGCCAGATAAACCGTGTCAAGCATGTCTTCGACAAACGTACACTTTTGATGATTATTAATTCCTTGGTTTTTAGCAGGTTATTTTATTGCTCCGATGTTTGGTCAAATACCTCAAAATGTAATGTCAACAAGTTACAGGCAGTGCAGAACTTCGCATGCCGCATTGTTAGCGGCGCGCGTAAATTTGACCATGTTAAACCAATTCGCAAGGAGCTAAATTGGCTTTCAGTTCCCAGTCAGCTTTATTACCGGAACGCTACAATGGCTTTTAAATGTATGACCGGTCAAGCCCCTGAATACCTTACATCAAAATTCATAAAGCGAGCAGAGGTTAGCCGACGTAGCACCAGAAATTCACAGCTTTTACAAATCCCCTTTTTTAGAACAGCTGCCGGTCAGAGAACATTTTTCTATAGAACTGTGAACTTATGGAACTCCTTAGACAATTCCTTTAAACTGTGTAACTCGATTGATGTTTTTAAAACTCGTTTACGTACTAAATTACTTAAAGAATTGTAATTTTATACATATTTTAAAACATTTTTAATTGTAAATGGGATCATGTATTGTCTTTGAAAAGCCCCTTAAGAAAGTCAATAAAGTATGTATGTATGTATGTATGTATTTAACTTAATTTGCATGAATTCCCGGAAACCTTGTACATAATTCCCGGAAACCTTGTAAATAGCTAGTGTTAATTTTGTTTCTTTTTCTTCCTTTTTCTCTCTTTGTAAATACGGTGGAGTTGGTTTTTCAATAAAACACCCCTGCGGGGGTTTTTATATTTAAAAAAAAAAAAATCTGTTCTTATCGGTCACGTTTTCGGTTTCTCCGCCGAAAACGTGAACAGTTCCCGTTCCTGTGCTTCGATCGCCTTCCTTTTGGTCTCGTTCGTTTCCTTTTACTGTGGGGATTCCATTTGCGAGGTTTGTTTTTGCGTTGTTGGTTTATTTTCGACGATTTGAGTGGATTTCTTTTACGCCGCCAGACACGTGCTTTGCGCGATGATTGCGCGACCCCGCGCAAACCTTCGCAAGACACAAAAATGTGCGTCTCATTGTTGAGGACAATATGGAAATTAATCGTTGGAAATTTTTCGGTCTCTCCCGGACTTTCAAGAGGAAATCACAGGCATCGTGCCGAATTTTGGAGGAAAATGCTTTGACATTACTCTTCGTTCCACTGAAGCGGGCGACACGCCTGGCTACGTCCGGCTTCGATTACGGGGGGGCGGCGGCCGCTCAAGCTATTAGGAGCCAAAACGATTCACGTCTCGGTGTTCGTCGCCGTCGAATTCCCCGATCAGGAGATCGTAAAATTTCTACAGCAATATGGACAACTTAAGTCCGAAAATCTTCGCCGTCTTTTTGCTACAACGAGGAGGGCTTTAGGAACATCGAGCGCGCATACGCGTGGCAGAATTTACGTCTTTGGATAGGGACCTCCCGGAAAGTGGTCACTCAAGGCCTCGAAATTTTCTTTAAGTACACTGGGCAGCCGATAACCTGTTATCGATGCGGCTCAACGGAACATGTCGTGAAAAATTGCCCGAAACAACGTTCACGCTTTAGTCACCTACGCCGGGAGGATCGCGTTCTGGCCGACCCTCCTAACCCCACCACCCCTCAGGAGTCTCAAATGGAAACAAACTCTGATGAAACCTCCGAGGACACTCCGCCGGTTGAAAACTCCAGCGGACCGTTCTCCGCTTACACAGAGCTACGCCCTCAGTTACGGCTCCTACGCCGGACCTTTCGCTTTCCTCGGCCTCGCGAGACCTTTTCGACTCTCAGTCTCAACAGTCGAGAAAACGCCCCCCTCATCCCCCGGAAAAGCTGACAAGCCAGAGCCGAAACAGCGCGCCGTCAGTGACAAGGGAAAAGCCTCCCCTACTATCCAGGGTTTTCTTTGCGGACTAAAGCAGAGTGGACCCGAGCGCACTAAACTAATGACCATCATTCAAGGTCCTCAATATTATCGAGCTCGCGCTCTTTATTTTCAATATAAACACGGAAATTTCGCTGACCTTGACCTTAACCATGCTGTTCGCCGCGGGCTGAACGATCGAGAACAGGACGCGTGGGTACACCTACACCGTACTCTTGGCCAAGATGCTTTCGCCGAGCTGGTCGCAATGTCCGAGGATCTTGGCCGGAAACACCCCGGCCTGTTCAAGAACTAACTTTTCCCTTACCGTCGCGTTCACTTATTTTTTGTACTTTTTGTTTTTCGCCATGGCTGTCTCGCTGACATCCATTAACGTTAACGGCGCTGCCGAAAGCCATAAGCGCCTTAGGGTTTTTGGGTGTCTGCGTAGCATGTCCTCTGATTTATTTTTACTACAAGAAACTCACCTCGCGGATTTTACGCAAGGTAAGGCATGGCGGCTTAGCGGTAATTAACCCCAGTGAAAAAGCGAGAGCCTTAAAATTACGCTGGGTACCCCAGATAGGCGATCCCTCGTGTACGTCTAACTGGGTTTTCTTCGCCCGTTACTGGGTCGGCCTAGTTCTGAGCCGTAAGGTCCCGAGCTGGTCTTTTCTCAGATCGAACGCGTGTCCTAAATATATCGGAGACTCTCCCCCGAAATATTTTACACACGTCTTAACGTCGGTAGACCGACTGAACCTCGACCTTACCCTGTTACCGAATTACCGAGTGAAAACCTTCTACGAAAAACTCACTTACCCCTCCCCTAGGCGCCTGCCTACCGCAGGGGCCTGGGAGAAGCGTTTACATACCCCTCTACCCTGGCCCTCTATCTGGTCTCATATTTATGGTGGTCTGAGTACGAATTGGGAAGCGGATATCGCGTGGCGTATTGCACACGGCGTTTTAAAAACCCGAACATACCTTAAGAACTGGTGTCGGCTGAAAGTCAGCGACCGATGTGCTCGGTGTGGGAAGCGTGAATCCTTCTCTCATGCCTTATGCGAGTGTACCTCTGTACCTCAAGTCTGGCAGTGGGCTTTTACACTCATTAATAAATTTTTCTCTATAACGCTGGCTCCCTCGCCGCCCTCGATCTTGTTCAAACACGGCTTGCCTACCGGCGATAAGCACTCCGTTGCTCTCGTACATGTAATTATCAACGTCACTCTGAACGAGATCTGGGCGGCTAGGAATCTAGCGACTTTCGAAAACTCACATCAGCCAGCCTCGGCTACAATTCGTAAAGTTAAGCATCGCCTGCGGCAGCGGATCCGTGCCGCTTATAATTTCAATAATATTCCTGTCTTTAAAAAATCGTGGGGCCACAAGCAGGTCTTATGTAAAATTGAAAATCAGACCCTTCAGGTCCTTATTTAGTCACCAGGCTCCCGGGAGTAGGGCGGGCCTGGCTGTACCTTTCGCTCACGGGGCCCTCCCTGCTCCGGGGACCCCCTCACCTTAGTTACCCTTAATACTGCTCTACTATATTAGGACTTCTAAAGTCCTGTAAGCAACCAATTAAATCATGATAATTATCCTTATCTCCGGGGAAGTAGGCGGCATATATTGGGACTTTACAGGGCCGCCAAAACCCCGGGTCCATCGATCTTCTTTCCTTAGACTTACAATTTCAGCGACTCGGGGGCCTGGGTCCTAGTGACCGCATGCTACTAGCCCAGCCCCACCCTATTGCAAATTTTTAATTTTTCCAACTACACTTGATTGTAACTACTTTCTTGTGATCTGT